GTGTGTGTGTGTGTGTATATGTGTGTTTGTGTGTGTGTGTGTGTTTGTGTGTGTGTGTATGTTTCTGTCAGACCTACGCTAGCAGCACCTGGGTGAATCTCGCCTTTCTATACAAACAAACACATATACACCCTGGTACTGATTTCTTGATTTGCTTACAAACGAATATGTATAGCTTAGTACAGATATATTGTATTGCCATCACATATACACAAACGAAAGGCTCAATTACTCATTACTTGTTAATCGCGCATACCTACCCGTTAGATTCACAGCAAATCGGGTTTGAATTTTGCAACCCCGAATCAATTTCGCTTTGATTCAAATCGATCCAAAACTGATCCCGACTGATAAATTCAAATCAAGCACATCTGACTGATTGGATTATATCCGATTAAAATTGGGAATTATTATCGGCAGTTGTATCAAGAAGACATGTCATATGTGATTGGCGACAAAGCATTCCAGCTGCTGCCTCTCAAGTCTTTAGTGAATGCGGGTATGTCGAGCTAAACTCACGTGCATATGCTCTCTAGTACGCATCGCTATGCAGAGACAAGTGCTTAAACATGTACATAGCAAATCATCCAGATGTCCTAAAGAGTGTCTCGCAAAGCAAAGTACTGTGATATCTTGGCCTTGTTGGAAAAGTTGCAGGTCGCTTGATTGTGGATACGTTGCAGATTGCATGCCACTATTAATATACTATTAATCGCATGCCACTTTTAATATGCTATTAATCGCATGCTATTGTTAATATACTATTAATCGCATGGCGTTATTAATATACTATTAATCGCATGGCGTTATTAATATACTATTAATCGCATGCCATTACTATTATCCTATTAATCGCATGCCATTATTAATATACTATTAATCGCATGCCATTATTAATATACTATTAATCGCATGCCATTATTGAAATACTATTAATCGCATGTCATTATTACTATACTATTAATCGCATGCCATTATTAATATACTATCAATTGCATGCCATTATTAATATACTATTAATCGCATGCCATTATTAATATACTATTAATCGCATGCCATTATTAATATACTATTAATCGCATGCCATTATAAATATTTATTAATCGCATGCCATTATTATTCTAGTACTAATCGCATGCCTATATTATTACATTATTTTACCAACCTTGATGGGTGCCATGCATGCTCAGTGGTAGTGTGTCCACAACATGTGTTAACTTCCCGGTGTGTTATAGGAGCTTAACATCAGTGTGCCCTATTGATATGAATGGAATACCCCGCGTGTGTGTCCTCAGAGCCTTTCACTTATGCTTTTGACAGGTGCCATGTGCTCGCTGTCCAGTGATTGGGATGCAGACCCCTTAGACCCCATGGGTACGCTCAACCTCGCTATAAATAGACCCTACACCGAAGACAGCATCTCGCTAGAGCAAGCCGTTGCCATGGCGACGCTTGACGCTGCGGCCGCGATGAGTCATTCAAACGAAACCGGTTCAATCGAAGTCGGCAAGTTCGCAGATTTTGTAGTACTGGATGCAAACATCTTCGATACGGTTCAACGAGATGAATCGCTGGAGACTGTATCCGTACTACAGACTGTATTGAGCGGTCTGAGTGTGTATACGAGCGAGACGTGTGGTGATGATTGCTTGCCGCTGGTCCAGTATATGGCCGCCGTTTGATTTTGTCACGTAGAAGCGTCTTCATATCAATATGAATGACCTGCTGTATAGCCCAGCTGTTGTGGAGAGCCCAATACACTACACAATTAGGTCCAGTGCTTCTTCGAGGTTAGTTCTATTTATAGCTCACAACACTTACGCTAATCGGGTGGGCTAGGCGCTAATACTGGCAGCGTTGTTCGCTATAGACACCGGAGCTTCCATGCTCAAACGCTTTGAGTTGGCTGGCCATCCCCACTGAAGTACACAGGGTAAGACGCTCGCATCGGGTATAGATGCCAAGAACGAAAACTCTGAACCCTATGAACGTGCGCCAGACTATATGGATGGGTTGATATCTACGAGCCATCTATTTATAGAATATGAGGTGGCTGTGTAGGTAATGGTATTGGGGTGGTATGGGCACAAACATGTGTCGCTAGGCACTTTCATACAGGCAGACGGCGTGATTTAGAGCCCGACCGTCCCGTGACAAAGATGGGTATCTTGAGGGAACAGAAAGCCAACAAGTGATTGCGATAGTCTCAATTATTAGACATATACGTGACAGTGTTGTCCGACTGGCACAGATTCTACAGGCGAACACTTAGGATTCTTGTCTACAGTGAACGTTAATCACGTCACAACTATGAACACAAGTCCGCTACATACATACCTACTGTGACCATGGTTTTAAACCCATAATAAAACTCCGCACAGTAGTACGCAATGACTTGTCTTGTCTCCTATTGATATGCATCCTTAGTATGATTTTATATGAGATCGAAATCAGGACACATGGGAGTGCAGATCACGTGTATTCATACAAGTGGACCACCACAAACTCAAGCACAGTTCGCACCCACCATCACTTACATGCTAGCGGCTCCTGGGCTTGCGGATTGTGTGGTGTTAACCGACGCAGCACGCAGTCGACTTAGTGTGTTCTAAGGATAGATGAAGGTATTCAGTTGAGCACATCGAACGCCAATATAGCGCGCTGATGCATGCTGCTTATCGGTATGGATGAAGTTAGTTTCAGCTTGTGCGGATCATAAATGATACAACACCTGGTAAACTTTGTACTAGTGCACCTATATCGATGCTTCAGTTGGATAGTAAGAATATTATACAACCCGAAGGAAACCTAAACTTGCAGAACCATTGTATATAATCTCTGGCTTCATGGAATTAGATTCCATGAATGTCAGGTAATGCGAAAGATTCGGAAAACATTTGTTGACGAATGATATTTCTACATGGTGTGCTCTGCAAGGATGCAAAACGTTTGTGCAGTACAAATACATGTACGTATGAATTTTTCCGTGCGTACGGATTTGTGTACGCATTTGCAGGTACTCGCATATATACACATATTATGTATTTATGTGCATACGTTTGTATATATGTATATACGTTATGTATGTACGTGCATACGTGGTCGACTATACCAACGATATACATAAGTACACAAACATAGAATACATAATAGTATCTATGCGATTCTGCAGTTCTAAGTAATATTATAGCTGAAGATTTTAAAACGCACACACAACATCAATGACCATACATATCCCGGCGTGTCAACCCAAAAACGTTTACTTTAGGTTTAATTAATTCAACAAGGCTGACAAACCACTCTGGTCTATGCACGCACGTTTAAATAGTTCTAGTACTTGTGACTCATGGCGTCCCTATCACCAGCCTTTCGCACTCATTCCTGTGCCACTGGTACCCTATGTGTTGCCATGTGTGTGTTGCGCATGATTTTAGATCTAGACGTATAGTTGCACCCGTGATGCTTGCATGCATAGGCCTGCCCTTTAACGTGTACCCTCATGTGCCTAAAGCGCTCCGCATGACTGGCGAAGCGCTCCGCGCAACTCGAAAACTCGCACTTAAACGGCCGCAGACGCAAATGGTCCACGATCACGTGCACGTTGAGCTCGGACCTGCACTCGTATATCTGGGTGCAGGAGTCATACAGGCAATGTAAGGCCGTGGACCTCCCATGCTTGGCAGTGGAGTGTGCATTGAGCTGCGCTTTCAGTGCGAACGATCGGCCACAGTGCGTCTCCCGACACACATACTGTGCTCCACTGTCTGTCGAGTTCAGCGAGATGCTCGGGCGGACGTCGTCACCCGAATCCAGGAAGCCGCCAGAGAAATCCAACTCACTATCACTCTCTTCTTCACGCACAACCGTGTCACCAGACCCAGACGGCTTCACAGTCAGTTGTCCCTCTGCGTGTGTATTATACACAGTCTCCGTTGAAAACGCTCTCCCGTCCTCGCCCGTGCTACCCGCCAACTCTCTGGCGCGTGCACGGGTGGTACGTGAGGGTTTCCCGCAAATGCTAGCACTGCTGCTCAACGCTTTGCCGTCCATGACTCCACCACTTACACGTGTTTTCTTGTTGACGACTTTCTTCGCCTTAGCCTTCTCAGCATTGTCGTCACCGTCCGAGTCGTACTCTGAGTCTGCGTGCGTTTCACTGCGCGTCCTCTTCTTAGCTGTACGGTGTGTGTCTGCTGTGGTGTTCTTTGATCCGGTTGATCCCTCATTCGCCTGTCGGAGCCTTCGCCTGGTCACGTGCGGCCGAGCAATATCTTTGCCACTATCAACAAACAGTTTGGAGCCTTTGCCACCCTCACTACCCGTACTCGTAATATCCTTACCAGATCCCTTAGATTTGCCACCCTCACTACCCGTACTCGCAGTATCCTTACCCGATCCCTTAGATTTGCCACCCTCAGTACTCGTACTCGTCGTATCCTTACCAAATGCCTTGGATTTGGCCCGCTTGCTAGGTGTCTTTGTCTCGGCGCTCGTACCAGACGTCTTAGATTTGGCGCTTTTGCCCGATGTTTTAGCCTTGGATTTGGCATTCGTACTTACACTCACATCCGGAGTGAGAGTGGGGGGAACTGCGGCTTCTATGGCATTTCCACTCCGCGTGGCGCGGCCTTTGGGAAGGGCCTGCACCTCGGCTGGATCAAAGTCCCAGCACGTTAACTTGGCCAACTCCTTCTTCTTCTTCTCAAGCTTTAGGGCTAGCCTGGGATCGTTTGCCCCGTTTTCTGTACTGTCCTTATCCCCGTTGCGAGATCGGGCTTGAGTGCGCGACAGCTGCTGCCCGCTGGCCTTTCGCTTCTGGGCGCCGTTCGCACGCTTTGTATTCTTGTCTGTGTCGCTGACACGTGAAGGTGCTCGCTGCTCCTTCACACTTGGTGATTTGATGGGGTTTCTTTTTGCTTTCACCGTTTTAGCGCTTGTTTTGGAAGCCTGTCTGCTGGTTTTGGACGCGGGTTTGACCGGAGATGCGCGTGGTACTAATTCTTCATCCTCACTAGTCAGCTCTACAACGTCCTCCCCCTTGGTCCCCTCGTCTCCGTCCCCTGCCATGATTGCCAGCTGCTTGGCAGATCGCATAACTCGAGGCGGATATTTGCCAGTTGGTGCAGAACTAACCTCTGGGCCTGTCACTGGCTTGTTTGAGGTGCGGTGTTCAGCGCTCTCCACAGCCACACTACCGTCTTGGCTGTGACTTGTAGCTGCCGGCACCTTGCGCTTCTTGTTGGCCCTTTTCTTTGCCTCATAAGGCTTAGTCTTTGGTCTGGACTTACGCGCACTTGCCTTAGCCGATTCAGCAGTCCCATTCTGTGTGAATGTGTCGTCCTGTATCGGTCCCGTAGCGTGTGTATGCTCAGTTGTGTCTTGGTCGCGTTTGCTTTCGGACTGATTTTTGCTAACTTTTCCGACTTCTTGCTGTTTCATCGTACTTTCTTTCGTATGTCGGCTGCTATCGATGAGGTTACCTTGGTTTTTACGACGTATATTTTCTTGAAGGCTCTTGACGAAACCGTCAAAGCTCAACGGCCCTTCTGCATCCTCAGCCACTCCGTTGATGACTGATTCAAGGGATGAATCTGTAACCTCAGCCGGTTGCTTGCTAATCAACGTCTCGCTGACAGATTTTTCAGTGTTCGACTTCGCCTTGGTCTCCCCTGCTACACTCTCTTCAACATTCTCTTCTTCAGCTTGTTGAAACTCGTTGTGTCTCGCACCCTGATCGCTTCCCACAAGACTTTGAGCTTCAGCGCTCTGTTGTCCCCGTGCAGCCTTGCTTTCATTTCGCCGCTCATCAGAGGGCACCGGGTGCCTACTATAAGAAGCAACTTCGTCTACTTCAGATTCAACCGTATCGAGCTGGCTCGGCTTGGTACTGTCTTCTACATTCTTCTCCTCACTACTTGCCTTAACCTCTGCTGCCTTGTTAACATCTACGCCTTTGGCTTTGGCGGGGTTAACCTCCTTGGCCCTGCCCTTTGTCACCCCTTCGGTACTCACTTTAGTACCACCCAGGCTAGTGCCTTTACCACTCTGTGTGTCATTCGTTGCCGTACTTTCGTTCCCATGCGTCTTGGTACGCACTGTTGCAGCAGACACCCGCCCCCCCGCCACGTTCACCTGCCAATCGTCCAGTTGGATCTGCGCCACCCCATCGCTATCCATAGCCATCTCCTCACTGTCCAAGGTGCTGCGCGCCCTTGCGGCTGCTGTAGGGCCGGTAGGTGAGCGTTTGGCGGCGGCAGTTGGTTGTGGGGCTGTCTGGTGCTTTGTGTGGCTGGCTGGTGTCTCTGCATTGTCCATCTCGCTGATGTCCATCACATCGCTCTCGGGCACATCTGTCTGTGATGCAGACACAACACTCTGAGATGGCGCCTTGGCAATCACCATTTCACTGTGTCCTGAATTCGTCGAGGGCTCGGCAGCCACATCTCCCTCACCCGCCGGTGTGTCAGCTACGTCCAGGCCCGCCGTTTGCACGCCAGGCTTATTGTTAGCAACAAGGACCTTGTCCTCTTTGGCCGTGGCTTCCTTTCCACGGAACACTGGCCTCTGATTCTCATTTGGCTGCGCATCCGCAGCCTTCCGCTCTGGTCGAACTGACTGGGCCCTGATCGTATACCCATGCTTCGGCACACTCACAGACGCCCTGCGTGCCACCTCTCTGCGCGACGGAATATGGGACACACTCTTCGCTCGTGCCAGTCGACCACCGCAGTTGTCTGTAGTAGGCCTGGAGCTGGATCTACTCACACTCTTGCTCCTTACTCTGCGCATGCCTGTGCTATGTGATCGCTGCAGGTGCTCTCCCCATCCACCAGAAAATGCCTCGGACATCGATGGGCCCTTTCTGGCACGTTTCTTCGCCGTTTCACTCTTGGTTTCTGTACCTCTAAATCCGTCTGAGAAATGTATCTCCACCTCTGGTAGACTGCTTGCTTCCTGTGTCACTATTTCAGCGTCCTTGTGTCCGATATTCATATCTGTCGGGTGCATATTCGTCGGGCGGGCGGGAGTGCGTGTCACATGCGCTGTGACAATTGTGGGTTCGCGGACGTGCTTTGCTTGATCATTGCTAACCTTTCGCACATCTACAAGATCCTTTCCAATCGGACCAACATCTTTTTCTGTACCAAGATCTGTGTCTTTATGGTCTCCGCCTGTGTTGTGCTCGGTCAGAGCCGTCCCTGTCGTCTTGGCAACGAGGGTGCCCACTCCTCCTCCATCCGCCATTATGTCATGTGCAGGAGCATTTTCTGAAGCGTCTCCTTCCTTCACCACCTTATCGACCTTGTGTACCGTCTCCAAAGGATTTACCATCTCATCCCCAAACACCACGCGTGTAGTGTTATATCCCAGGCTTTTAATACCCGCAGAAGGTCTTTGCATACCACTGGCTTCGCTTTCACCCGATGCGCTACCCACCACCTTATCCGACGAGATGTTCGGTACAGGCGAGCGCGAGTCTGAAGCCCCAACAGCCGTGCTCTTTATAGCAGCGCTTGCAGTGGTCACTTGAGTGTTCTTGTGGTCTAACGCATCGCGATTCGCCACAGTAGGCGTTGTGGTGGCAAGCGTAGCATCAAAAGAGATATCTTCCGTTTGCGACTTGGTACCAACACCTGATGCAGCTGCCGTATACTTCACACCGGAATGTGGGGTAGACGCTTGTTTTAAGTCTTGTGGTGTGTTTCGCGAAGAGGCTACAGATCCCACCTTCCGAACGGTATTAAAATTCTTACAAGCAGTTTTATGGCCTTTCTCCTTCCAGTCGACACGCTGACAACAGGAGGAGAAAAAGCAGAGATATTAAAGACAAGGCCGGAAGATGCTCGATTTGTGCAAAAGGAAATTTAGTGATAGCCTCAAGATTAAATATGTCGCGGTTGGTACCTCAGTACCAGATCAAATCTGATCAGCGTACAGTGCAAGACTAAATAGCACAAATGGCGAAAGGTATGAAAACGAAGAGCATAAAAATTTACATATATAATATATATATATATATATATATATATATGTATATATATATATATAGCGACTAAGTAGGTAGGTAAGTAGTAGAACGAAACGAAGTAAGTAAATAAAATATA